GAAAAAGCCGCCATTTTTTAATGCGCGCGCGCTAATCACGCGTGAAATTATGCGCAGTAGGGATGCGCAATGCAATACTGGGGAATGACCTTAAGAAGCTTTAAGGGAGGAAGTTTACAAGTTTCGCACGTGCATTGTCCAACGTTCCATAGCACCTGAACTTAAAATAATTTCTGAAATCTCTATTTCCGCACATGGCGTGATCGTGAGCCTTGCATTATTACACCACGCCTGACTGTTGCCGGAATGGTAATATATATGGATACAGGAGCCCATCACTAGGATGCGTGCAACTTCCATACTAAGCCACATGTCACAGCATTTTTACAGACCGGTCTAATTTTGAGCTTCCGTGAAATAGGTCAGTTCCGCTCTACATGACCGCGCATCACTTCTTCCAGTGAAATGATGGCGTCAGTAAAAAATGAAGTCCGTCTTTGTGATTGGTCACTGAGGTTCTTGCGGGAGTCTGAATTCACGGTAAATTCAAACTAAAAATAGATCGGTCTGTGAAAATGCCGTGACAGGAAGATGAGGTAATTACGCGCTCCTAGCGATGGACTCCTAAAGAGAGTTATTCCCCCTAATATATTCTGAAGTTATCTTTAGACATGGTATCCAATGATAATACCGCGCGTGTTGCATGGATGTTTTCGTGGATGAAAATGCGTGTAAAGTCGCTTGCGCTGTCCACGTGAGCAGAATCGCGTCACAGGATTGGCTGTTTCTGAACCCACCTGGAATTTCCAAATCCGGGAGTGAACTAAAGCTAACTTAAGAGGGATTACCTTAAGAATAAGGCCGGTATAGGGAATTCACTCTCTTTTCCTTCACTGTTCTCTCTTGGTTGTTTAATATGATACTTTTTCATGTTCTCATGTCTTTCCTTATTCAAGATTGCATTTGTGGTTTCAGTATCAGGGACGGGAAAGCCAACCTGTTAATAGCAGCAAGTAAGATTTCTTAACCAGGAAAGGAGTCAAAGGCCAGCGAGTCACTGATCACAACAGACTCACCCCAGCGTCAGCACAGTCAGTACTGAAAGGAACATTAGGTTACAGACGTCGACAGAGAGTAAATATTTTGCAATCTGATGGCAGAGGAGCCTCCCGCGGAAGCTGCAGGACATGCACCTGCTCTTGACGTTCAAGCTGGTTTCGGAATGTTCCACATTAGAATTAAAATTGACAACCCCTGGTTAGCAGCAGGATTCTTAGGCGCCGGCATCCTAACGTTAAGAGCTTTTTATAATTCAAACCCTGAACCTGTTGAGACTGCAGTAAGAACTGCCTTGGCAGGTTTGGCGGATAGAGTCCTAAATATTAGACCGGCCTCAATTCTTGTCGAATTCGTTTGTTATACAAAAGACACGTTACTGGCATTTATGGATGCTTTTGCGACAGGCAGAGTAAAGCAAAGATTACAAGAGGAATTTTTTAAAATTGGATTTAAAGACAAGTTGGAAGTAACCGTTACTGTGTACGACATCGAGTCTGAGATGAGGTAAGATATCCCGCAAGCTGATAACAGGAAAACGAACGACTTGAATTGTATCCCGCGTGGAATAATAGCGAGACCTATTTGAGTGTAGCCAGTTTCTTGTAACTAAGAGACAACTAATGAAAACATCCGTTAGATGCGGCGAGAGAACGGCACTTAAGGTATATATAATCCATTGTGTTATAGTTAGTTACATAGTTACTAACTATGATTGTATGGATGATTGGTCGAGAAGTTTCTCAATTATCGCGTTTCCGTAAAGATTCATATCTCCTGTGTTAGTATATTTAGGCGTCGTCCTCAACGTCTTTGCCGTCATTGCATAAGCTCCCTATAGGCAAATCTTTGCTCGCGTCATTTTTCACATTTTCCTCATTAAGAAACAACTTTGCGCTGAGATAGACTGTTCACATCCCTCTATTTTCTGGCATTTTTGTTCGATCGTTGAAAGCGCGGATAGAATCGCGAGAGGGGCAAAACAAAAGGCTTACGGGGTAGGGGACCGAGATAACTACTGTTCGGTCGCCTCCTTGCCCCTACCCCCTCGTGCTTCGCTCGCTTTTTCTTTGGCGTGCGTTGAATAACAGAGATCGCGGGCTGTGAACAGTCTAGTACCGAGAAGGCATCACAATAGACACAAATTGACTACAAACATTTAAAGAGCTTGTAAAACTTAGTAATTGGTGAAATTTTGGGCTCTTTGGGTGTAATATTTGAGGAGAAATTGGCTTTCGAAAACTGCAAAATTTCTTAGCGGCAAATGTGCTACTGAGCTCATACATACTTTGTAAGTTGAGTTTTTAAACCCGAGTCGCACATAAAGTATTCAATACATCGGGCTCAAATTCCTTGGGACAGTTAATCGTGCTGTGCCCTTTCAATATTTAGAACTAATGTTTTTGTAGCTCCATCAGAAACTGCATCGCTTATGCTAATCAACAACTGCGCGATTGGATAAAAATCAACAGCACACTTAGTAAACATTTTTTGCTCGTTGCCACCAGAAAAGGGCACACGGGGACTGCTAACTCTGTCCGAAAAAAAAATCGACGGCAGCGACTGTTGTCGTAAGCTATTAGCAAGTTTGCGTAGGAAAGCTTTGAACTAAAAAAGGAGATGAAGGAATGAAATTGTATGTCAAAGGTAGCTCGTGAGCTAACGACGAGATACGGGATTATCTGAAAGAACTCTGCGAGCAAATTTGAGGAGGATGAAGCTGCGACGTTCTGTTCGCTTATTATCTAGCATCTTGTTTGGGTAATACACCCATAATGCAAGCTAATTTTTTTATGAAGAGAAAATAATGGAAAAGAGCAGATCGCTTATCATGTGGCATGGACCTCTTCGAATTCCGGTGAAAATTATTTTAAATCGATTATTAGTTCTCTTTAAAACTGTGTGAGTATCTTAGACTCAACATCAAAGTGGTAAGTTAGACTAACGTCGGGTGTTGTTCAACTTGGCAGGTTCCTGGTTTTACGGGAGATTGCAACACACCGCACACGGGAAAAAACGCAGCGGGTGATAATAGCGTCACTAAAGTAGCGGTCGAGGAACAGAGTGGTGTCTGTAAGGGAAGACCGTGCGGTCACGGGTACAGACAAAAATAACCCAACACTAACTAGCTATTAACTACAAATAGATTTTTGAAAAATTGTCATGAAGTACAGAGATCTGCTCTCTCCTTCATTTTCTCTTGTTTTTATCTAGTCTAGAAGTTACTAGGATGTTTTGAATCGGTCACAAATACCGGATTTTGTTCTCAGAAAAGAAATGTGGGAGACATCCTCGGACTTTGGCGCGGCTTCTGAGTCTTCTGCAATGTCTTCTGATGTCGAATCAATGGAATCAGGTTGTATTACACTTTATAATTTTTAATTGAATTTAGCTGTATTTGCTCCCTAAAAAAGCCATTTAAAACAGACTGACGAGTAATTGATTACTATGTCTCTGTCATAGAATGCTTTCATCTACTAGAGACGTTTTTAAAAGAGTTTTTAAAACGAGTCAGATGTCTTCACATGCTTTGAGCTTATCAATCACACCATGGCAAAGAACTTGAGGGACACCAGGCAAGCAGGAAAACTTGTTGCAGACCTTTCTCATTTAGCCCATTCTTATGCCTCTTCATACCGTCCAACGACTGCTGACCTCAAGAAACTCAGAGTTCTTAAGGAGCTAAAGAACAACAAAAACATTGTCATTTTACAACCAGACAAAGGGAATGGTGTGGTCGTCTTGGACCGAACAGATTACG